GGCAGGTCAGGGAGGCGATGGGTTTCAGCTCCCCCAGCCGCAGCTCCCTGCTGCCATCAAACCAGCCTCACCTTCCTGCAGAGGCTCCCAGCCCTCAGAGGGGGGATGACAGCCCCCTGGGATCCAGACCTCTTCCTGCTCACAGAAGCATTTCCGTGCCCTTTTTTCTCTCCACTCTTATTTCAGCTGAGGCTGGAGGGCAGCGAGAGGATAAGGAGCCCCAAGAGGAGGCTTAGAGCCCAGCCCAGGGACTCAGCATGGGGGGAGCAGAGCTACTCACCAGCTAAAGCCCAACTGGGGACCATGAGGGAGCAAAAACCCCTGACAGCCCCTCCAAACACACCTGACCTCCGAATAGGGCTGCACAGAGCAGCAGCTTCCCAATAACTGGGTCCCCTCTGCACCCACCTCTACCCCATGCCCCCAGAGCCCCAGGCTGCTTGGTGCTGCTGCAGAGGAGGGCATGTCTGCCTGCGTCTTGCATGGGCCATCCTCCCCTACGGCTGAGCAGTCTTTTCCTGCCCCGGCACAGGCATAAGGCAACCCCAAACCCAGGCGCTACAGCGGAGTCCAGCCCCAGCACACTGCAGGTGTGGTGCACCGTAAAGGAGAACGTCCCTCCTGGCACCATGTGAGGACAGGGCCTCCTGTCCCATCCCCGCGGGGCAGGGGTATGACCAGTGAAGGACTTGCTTTGACAAGTGTCTCTGTGCCCAGCGGTGGGAGCTGGAAAGCCCTTGTGCCTGGCCCTGCCCTCAGCACAAAAAAATTGAGCCTCTGCAGGGGAGGAATTTGCAGGCTCCAGCCAGCACCACAGGCTACGCAGGGATTGGGGAACTCCAGCCTCTGCTTTGACCCTGGAGTGGACTTGAACGGGATAAACACGACAATCCCACCCACCCCGGGCACTGCCATCCTCCCTCCCACCCATTGCTCCCACCAGCCAGGCTCGGACTCACCCAGCACCTCCTACCTCAAGTCGACTCCACTGACTCATGAGCAAGGCCAAGTGAGCCAGGGATACAGACTGCACCCCCCGTTTTTTGGTGACAACAGGCAAAGAGCCCTGCTGGGACCACTCGCTCCCGGCAGCGAAGGCTGCTGGGGCTTTCACGAAGTTGGGCCTGAAAGGGGACTTTGCATTTTTCACAAATCCTTGAGACTCAGGCAGGCCAGAGGAGACTGGATCTTAAAACCCAGGAGCCCAAGGCTGGGCTCAGACACCCCACAGGGCTGCCAAACCCCCACCTTATTCCCGAGCAGCCCAACACAGGGAGCGGGCAAAGCAAATGGCCGAGAGCCACTGCAGATGCACATGGAGTGCTCCAAGGGAAGGGCCGAGCGAGAGCGGTGGCTCTTCTGCAGCTCCTGTGCAGCTGGGGTGGCCTGGGCTGGAGCAGGGGCCCGGGGGGGCTGCTCTGTGCCCCCAGGCTGTGCTACGCCCCAGTGCAATAGATTCCACCCCCCCGCCCCCCAGCATGCAAGCCAGCAGCAGCTCCAGCAGGCAGCAGTTTCTAATGAGCTTTAATGGTGACCAAGCAGTCCCCAGGCCGTGTGTGGTCCCACGCTGTGCACCGAGCTCCCTCTGCCGCCAGCCTGGAGCCCTTCCTCATGAAGCTCTTGGAGCAGAGGAAGCCCACCCCTGGGACATGGAGTTGAGTGTCAAAAGGCACCTGATGGTGCTTGGGGACCACAGTGTTTGTGGGTGGGAGCACCGAGGGACAGGAGGTGCAAGCAGCCTGCAGCCACCTCCACTGCAGCCCTGTGGCTGCAGTTACTGAACCGTGCAATGCTCAGGCATGGAAGGTGCCAGGCACATCTGGAAATGCAGTGCAGCACCCACAGACCACGGCACAGAGCAGGGAGGGCAGGCAGGAGCTTGCAAGAGACTCATCCCCCTCCTCCATCTCAAAACAGAAACCAAAACAGCCCCTCCAACACCCACCACATCCATGTGAGCAAGATCAGCCTGTGGCATGGCCCCAGGCAGCACTGTGGGGAGATGCAAGGAGCCAGGCTGGCATCCCCAAAGCATCCTGCTCCCCTCTGTCCCTCACAGGACCAGGTGGCAGAGGCGCATGGGCTCCACGTTGTCCCTCCCATCGCTGAAGCAGGTGCTGAAGAAGGGGCAGTATCTCTCTGCAGAGACTCGGTGGAAGGTGAAGAGGTGGGACATGTCCCCGGCATCAAAGAAGGCAACAGTGCCCTCCTGGCAGTCCAGGAAGACCCCCACTTTCCGGGGGGGCTGGCGGGGAGGCAGGGGCACCCAGGGGGTGGTGGTGGCCCAGTACTCCGTCCTGTTCCTCAGGCGAAGCGTCCAGTAGCCGTTCTCCGGGCACAGCTTGACCTTTGCTGCCCGGTCCACAGTCTCGGCGGCCACCCCCAAGTCCCACTTGGTTTTGCTGCCCACCCAGACCTCCCAGTAGTGCTGGCCGCTGTCGAAGGTCTGTGAGCCCAGGACGTTGACGCACTGACGGAAGCGCCGGGGGCTGCTGGGGACGAGCTGGGCTCGATTCCTCTCCGTCACTGCTGTCAGGTCTCTGGAGAAGACCAGATTGGGGTGGGCTGACTCAGGGTCGAAGGTGAGTGGGGCAGGAGCTGTGGAGACATTGAGCATGGTATTTTACCCATTGCAGAGCATCCCCGGCCCCATCACCATCCAGCACATCCATCCCTCACACTGATCTGCTCACCGGGGCAGATGGACTGCAGCATCTGTCTCCAGAAGATGTACTGCAACGGGCCGCTGTGGCTGTCCCTGTAGCGCTCCAGGTCAAAGGCAGGCTGGGTCTCAACATGCACCGAGGGCCTGGGGTAGAGAGAGCAGCAGTTAACACCTCTGCTGTGCTGCTAGTGAGGCACGTGGGAAAAGCGTGGTTGGGAATGCAGCACGCTACCGCACATGACAGATTTAGTAAAGACAGGACACAAACCCCCTGGCAGCTGCTTGCTCCCTCAATGTGGTGCTACCCCCAGCGTGGCAAGCGGCTCGGGGCAGAGGTGCTGCAGAGACAGATCCGGCAGCACCACTCATGGAGCGGTGACTCACGGCAGACCAGCACCCAGCACGCCCAAGCAGGACTCCTGCACACGTGAACAGGCCAGGCCTGTGGAACCAGGTTGCATCCCACTGCAGCCCCCAGGGAGGGAGGGGACAGGGACACGCTCCCCTGTGGCAGTTCTGGCCCTCAGCTATTCGCAGCCTCAGAAAAACCTGCACCTTGGGATCAGTTTTGCAGCCCCATGAGTTGTAAGAAGCTAAGAAAGGGCAGGGAGAAGCCAAAGCACTCAAAGTCTGTGGCATCAGCCATGCTCTCACTTGCAGCATGCATGGCCCTTGCAGCCATTCCAAACCAGCACATCTCCACCTGCTCTTCCAGCACAGCCATCTCAACACATACGCTTGCTACGGAGAGCACCCAACACATTCTGGGGACCAGCCTGCACCTAGCACAGCACCAGCAGCTCACTAAGCCATTTGTGATGCTTTTAAAACTTGAGATAAGATCCCTCCCCCATGTGGTCCCAGCCAGGGACAGAGATAAGCTCCTGAAAAGGGAATCATCTTCTTTCATGCCAGACACGTACCTGATATCCAAGCTCTCCACCTGCAGTGAGGAGCAGAGAGAATTAGCAGTCACTGTCTGTAATTCATGCAGCTGCACAAATAAGCTCCCTGTCCTGCCTCCTGCTGTCACACAGCACAGAGATAGGAAACCAATCTGCCAGGACCCCCACCCTGGGGGAAACTGCCTGGGCACTGTGGCCAAGGCAATTTCACAGGGGTGACAGAGAAGGAGGAAGACTCTTGAGACCCACCACATGGGAGAGATCACCATATCCCTTGTGGCTAAAGCCCCCAGACTCCAAGGGATTGGGTAGATAATCTGGAAGGATGGCAGTGAGAATGACTTCCAGGGGCAGCCTAGTGCTATCATTTAGGACTCCCCATCCCAAATTCAGATCCTGAAACACCCCTCAGCCTCCTGCCAGGGTCTGCCAAGCACACTCACCTCCAGCAGTGACACCTCTTCCATCTTGCTCAGGGTCTGCCCTATGCGCTCTATGTCCCTCTGCAGCGCCGACATCCCCTCCTCCAGCCGGTGGACGTCCCCATGCAGCTGTGCCAGCAACTGCTCTTCCTTTTCACCCAGCTCTGCCAGCACAGCTCTCTCCTCTTCCTCCAGGATCTGATGAAGGCGGACAAACTCTGCACGGATCTTGAAGTTCAGCTCCCCAGACACCTTCTGAGCAGAGGGAAAAGGCAGAAGATGAGCCTGGCAGCTAAAACACATAAGTAGGTGCATGGGATGGCTGGGCCCATTAGTCTGCTTACAGAGTCCTGGAAATCAGAGAGTCTCAGACATGCCCATGACCTTTTAGATGGACACAAGGACAACTTCCAAGGCTGCACAGCCAAAGGGAAAAAAAAAAAACCAAACCAAGCTCTACCAATGGCTCAGTCACCTTAACCAGAAATCCTTGCCCACAGCCACAGTGGGAGCCCACATCCCTCTCCCACACTACCAGGAATTAGCTTGTGTGCAATACTGGAACTCCCTTGCTTTTCTGGAGCTGCAGACTCCGCTGTTCAGGTTAGTTAGGATTTATTTCGCATTGCGCCAGACCCTGGGCAGAGCTGCCTGACACTGGTAACTTGCTCTTTTTCTCCAAGGCCTCCGTCTCTCAGGGCCCCGGTTCATACGAGAGACAGGGGAGCTGCACAAACTGATCTCTGTAGTTAAGGCTGATAAAATCCCATTCAGCTCTTTTCAGAGGTCCCTTTTTTCCAGTTGTTTAGTCAGCCAGCCAACCTCCTGGTGCCCTCACTGCCTTCCTGCCTGTTTACAAGAGACAGCCAATGACTTTTTATTTTCCTAATCTTTAAGCTTTTAATCTCCAAGTGCAACCTTAGCCCTCATTATTTTCTCGAGGAGCGCTTCCAGAAACACACATCCCTTCCTACCAGCAGGAAACCCATCTGCCCCACAGTACATCTGAAGCTTCACCAGCCGGCACGGCAGCCCAGCCTCCCTTTGCTCTAGCAGGCGCTTGTGCTGACACACCAGAACCACAGAGGAGGTGCATGGCCTCCCTGTTCAGATCAGCAATTTGCTCCTTCACTCTTGAAGCACCTCTTAGTCAGCTCTTTCACTGCAACGGGACATCAGCCACATGTGTGTATCTACTAACACTTTTTCAATAACCTCAAAAGATTCTATGATTCTATCTATTCCAAATCTGGAAGTGGGTAGAGAGAGGTATGAAACACATTGCAGCAGGGGGGAATCAGAGACTCCGGTCAGAAGGCAGGCTCCCATCAGTTTTATCTCACATCTGAGCTACTCGCTTTTTCCTTAAACCCTCCTTCCTTGACTTTTCATACTTGTACACCACTCAAGAAGGAAGCGCAGTCAGCCTGTGGCTGTTCTTGCTTCATTGATCAGTGACAAGGAGGCAGCCTGGTGCCACTCAAACCTGGAAAGAGCACTCAGGTTCCCTCACATCATCTCAGAGCTTCGCATTAAATCCAAGCACGGTCCTTGTGACAAGGCCACTGCTCTCTGCAATGTCAACACTGCTGCTGACCCAGCTCCCTCAGCTTTGCTGCCACCCCTTCAGACACAGAAGAGGGTTTTAGAACTTCCAGGAATTAACCCTCTCCCAAAGTGGCAGTGCTATAGGGCCAGAACAGGCTGCTCAGCCAACAGCTCTCACCACTCACCCTGTCTCAGCTCTGCTGCACCAATGCACCTTGTAAATGCTGCATTTATGAGTGCTTAACGCCTCTTCCCAAAGTCTCCACTGAATATTCAATATCGATGGGCTCTGGCCTACACACAGGGGAGTGTGTTCAGATCCCTGCGTAGTTATTTGTCTAGGTTTTTACAAGCAGCTGAGCTAAATATCAGCTGAAGTGATACACAGACCCTCTATGAACATTAAAGCAGAGGCTGTACAACAAGCAGCTATCACAGAGCATTACCGTCAGGCCACAGATATCTTCCTGCATCGCACGCTTCCTCCTCAAGAAGTTCTCCATCTCCTTCTGACGAGCTTGCAAAGCATCTTCCAGGTGCTTCTGCAGGAACGAGGAAAAGAAGATAAGGAGACCATTTCACTACTCTGCTGTGATTCAGGAGCAGTCCCAATTCCTGAGGCCAACATTAGAGGGAGGCTGCAACAGGATTTCTTACAAAGGCAGCAAGGAGAAGAAAGCACCTGATGCACAGGCTTGAGAACTATGTATGTGTGCACGTAATGAAACAAATTTATTTTTTAGACCAGATATCCTGGGATATCTGTTTGCAAAAGGTTTAAAACCTGCATGCTGTGAACTAACTTGTGCAGGGACTGGCCTCTCAAGCAGCGCACCCAGCCCTAGGAGCCCTCACCGCCGGCTGTGTGGTCCCTATGTGAAAAACAACCAGGTTATGATGGAAGTTTGGCACAGCAGTGAGGGAAACAAATGCAAGAAAAGAAAGTGTCCAAAAGACAGACAGCTGGAAGGAAACAGGGAGAGGGAATGAATCAGGAAAAGATTAGGTATCACTGCACTCGAGTCAGGCGAGGGACACACGGGGCTCCCCGGTAGGGGAACCGACTGCAGGAGGAGGCAGTGGTGGGCTCTTGCTGCCTGCACAGGGCTCACACAGCACCCATTCCCTTCTCCCCCAGCCAAGCAGAAGCCACTCACCTGCATCTTTTGCCGGTGCTCCACAGAACCACAGCGCCGCACCTTCTCCACCAGCCCCGACAGCAGGTAGTGGGTGCGGAATGCCCGGCTGGGGAACTCGCGGCGGCACTGGGGGCAGGAGGGGACACGGGCACAGCTCTCCCAGTAGCCCTGGATGCAGGCCTTGCAGAAGTGGTGCATGCAGTCCAGCATTACGGGCTCACTGAAGAGCTCGAAGCAGATGGCACACGTCAGCTCCTCCCGCAGGCTCCGGTCCTGGCTCCTGCCCGCCATCCCTGCTGGCACACCGGTCCCACCCTGAGTTTCCTGCCACCAGCACCCCCAAATCCCCTTCCTCCTTCCCTCTGGGCCAGGGCGGACTTGCGCCTCTGCTCATGCTGGGCTCTGCTGGGCGCTCTGGGGCAGGATCTGGTGACCAGACCTGGAGGCACAGGACCTGCCCAGGTGCCGCACTGGGTGTATCCAACCCCAGAAAGCCTCCAGCCACGGGAATTAAGAGCGAAGTCCTGGCACAGGGTCGGCCCCTTTGCAGGACAAAACCCTTCTGCTTCCCATTACTTCAGCAAAACCACTTACGGCCTAAGAGGGACTGGCCCCGTGTCCCCGACGGGGGCCAGGGGAAGGGGTCACCCGGCTGAGGGACAGCAAGCGCCCGCCCT